TGGTGAGCTCAATTGGCATAGCTCAGTGGTTGAGTGTCAACCTATGAACCAGGAGGTCACAGTTCCATTCCTGGTCAGGGCACATACCCACCGGGTTGTGGGCTCGATCCTTAGTGTGGGGTGTGCAGAAGGCAGCTGATCAATGATTCTCTCTTATTGATGTTTCTATTTTTCTCTCCCTCTCCCTTCCTCTTTGAAATCAATAAAAATATAATTTTAAAATTAAATAAATTTTTAAAAATGTGGTGAAAGTGGATATCCTAAGGGAAATACTTTTAGTTTCTGTGCCAGGCCAGCAGAGTCAAGGGTTCAGTGAGCCTGGGGGGGGGGGGGTGTAGGGCGGGGGAAGGATTCAAGAAAAGACAAAGAGAATAAGCTGGGGCTCAGTGGATCTCCTGTGCCTGGATGAGGCCACAGAGAGGAATCCAGAGAGCAAGCTGAGGCTTTATTTTATAGTCAGAGAAAAACAAGGTAGTGGTCAACATAGTTACAATGTTCTTGTGAGTTTCACTTGTTTTGGCAGCACTTGCTGCACCTCCCACAGCCCATTAGCTACCTAGGAAGGATCTAGGGGGCGGCCATAAGGTCAAGCTTAATTATGCTAAGAAGGCTCTGCCCTCTAAGCTGGGACTTGTTTGTGGCTCTGCCACAGGTCAATCCGAGGCTTAACTCTAGAGCCGCTCCCTACAAGTTTCTGACCATTAAAAATGATGTTGGCTGTGAGTCTATGGCCTTTTATTATGTTGAGGTATGTCCCTCTATTTTCACTTTGCTGAGAATTTTTATCTTAAACATGTGCTGGATTTTATCAGATGCTTTTTTCTGTATTTATTGATATGATTATGTTGTTTTTATCATTCATGTTGTTTATATGGTATATCACATTTATTGATTTGTGGCTTTTGTACCAACCTTGTATTTCCAGAATACATCCCACTTGATTATGGTGTATGATCTTTTTAATGTATTGCTGCAACGGGCTTGCTAATATTTTATTGAGGATTTTAACATCTGTGTTCATCAGGGATATTGGCCTATAATTTTTTTTTCTTTGTAGTATCCTTTTCTGTTTTGTTTTTTAAAAATACATTTTTATTTATTTCAGGGGGAGAAAGAAGAGAGAGATAGAAACATCGATAAGAGAGAATTATTAATTGGCTGCCTTCTGCATGCCCCACACTGGGGGTCCAGCCCACAACCCAGCGGGCACGTGCCCTGACCAGGAATCGAACCCTGACCTCCTGGTTCATAAGTTGTTGCTCAACCACAGAACCACACCAGCTGGGCTGGTTTTGAAATTAGGATTATGCTGGCCTTGTAGAATGAGCCTAGGAGTCGTTCCTCCTCTTATATTTTTTTGGAATAGTTTGAGAAGGATAGGTGTTCTTTGAATGTTTGGTAAAATTCACCTGTGAAGCCATCTGGTCCAGGACTTTTGTTTGTTGGGAGTTGTTTGATTATTGCTTCAATTTCATTAGTTGTAATCTATTCAGATTCTCTGATTCTTCCTGATTCATTTTTGGAAGGTTGTATAAAAATTTGTTATGTCCTGATTTTTCAATTTGTTGGCATATAGTTGTTTGTAATATTTTCTTATAGTCCTTTGTATTTCTGTGGTGTTAATTGTTACTTCTCATTCACTTCTGATTTTTTTAACTTTGAGTCCTCTCTCTTCTTGATGAGTCTTATTAAAGGTTTGCCCATCTTGTTTATCTTTTCAAAAACCCAGCTCTTTGTTTCATCAGTCTTTTGTATTGTTTTTTTAAGACTATTTCATTTATTTTAGCCCTGATCTTAGTTATTTTCTTCCTTCTACTCACTTTGGGCTTTGTTGTTCTTTTTCTAATTCCTTTAGGTGTAAGGTTAGGTTGTTTATTTGAGATTTTTTCTTGTTTCTTGAGATAGGCCTGTAATGCTATGAATTTCCCTTTTAGGGCTGCTTTTGATGTGTCTCAGAGATTTGGGATTGTTGTGTTCTCATTTTTATTTGTTTCAAGGTATCTTTTGATTTCTTCCTTGATCTCACTTTGAACCCATTTATTGTTTAGTATCATGTTTCTTAGCTTCCATGTTTTTGTGTGTTTTTCAGGTTTTTTTTTTTTCTTGTGGTTGATTTCTAGTTTCATACCATTATGGTCAGAGAATATGCTTGATATGACTTCAATCTTCTTAAATTTATTGAGACTTGTCTTATATTTTAACATGTGATCGATCCTAGGAAACGTTCCATGTACACTTGAAAAGAATGTATATTCTGCTGCTTTGGGGTAAAATGCTTTAAAAATATCAATTAAATCCATATGATCTAGTGTGTCACCTAAGGCCACTGTTTCCTTGTTGATTTTTTGTCTGGAAAATCTATCCATTGATATAAATGGGGTGTTAACATACTCTATTATGACTGTTACTGTCAATCTCTCTACTCATGTCCGTCAAGATTGCCTTTATATATTTAGGTGCTCCTATGCTGGGTGTTCCCTTTATCATTATGTAGTGTCCTTCTTTGTCTCTTACATAGCCTCTGTTTTAAAGGCTGTTTTGTGAAATATAAGTATTGCTACTCCAGATTTTTTTCCATTTCTATTTGTATGAAATATCCTTTTTCATTCCTGAAAAAGGAGTTTCTTTTAGTCAGAGAGGAACTTTTCTGCCATCTACTTGTATAATTTCTTCTGGGTGGCTATAAAAAATTTTGAGTTTATTGTAAAAATGTCTTAATTAAATTAGCTATTTCAAGTATGAAAACTGATAGAGTTAAGTTAGGTTAATGGAAGTTTACTTTTGGAAAGCTTTTTATTTGACAATTTAAAGTATATTATTTCATGTTTTTTCTAATAATTTTAATTATATAAAAATTTAAATGAAGTTTTTAAGCAAACTTCTTATAGCTAGCTGTACCAAGCTCCTTCCAGCTTATTAGAATGTGCTCTTCAAAAAAGGAAAAAAGGGGAAAAAAAGAGAATTCATGGACATGCACAACAATGTGGTGGTGTGGGAGGTGTATGTGTGCAAGAGGGCATAGATGGGATAAATGATAATGGAAAATATAAAATAAAAAAAAGGATGTACTCTTCAAATATTACTATATTTTACATGCATTGATATGTAAAGGGTTAGAAATGTACTGCCTATTCCAGCTCATACTTTTAGACTCAGCTTTTAGACTCAGTTCCTTCAAATCTCCCTAGAATCTTTTCCTCTCATCTCTTCTACTTCCCCTACTTAAATGCTTCTTTTCTTTTCTTATATATGAGCGTTAAAGTGTTTTATATGAGGATTTTTTTTTTCTTTTTAAAAAATTTATTGGGGTGACATTGGTCAACATGAACATAGGTTTCGGGTGTGGGTTTCTACATTACAAGATCTGTGTATTGCACCACTCAAAGTATATGAGCGTTAAACTGTCTCTTTTAAGTCTGAGAGTTCTATAAGTTCCTGTTCTGATTTTTTTATTCTTGTGAGATATTTTCTAAATGCTTTCTGGAACTTTGATTCTTTCTGAACTTTGGATTTTTTTGAGTATTTTCAAAGTCTGATTTTCAAAACATTTTTTAAAGTTTCCTAATAATAAGAGTTTTTAAATTCTTATTTTGTCATCTATTTCTTTGCTATCTCTCCACCAGAAAAAAGGTGAGGTTTCAAGGGCTCAGCCTAACTCAGCAAATTTTTTCCAGATTTTAGTATATGACCTTTTCTATTTTTTATTTGTTTTTTTATAATTTTTAATTGAATTTTTTTGGGTGACATTGGTTAATCAAATTATATAGTTTTCAGGGGTACAGTTCTATAATATATCATCTGTATATTGTATTGTGTGTTCACCCCAAGTCAAGTTTCATTTCATCACCATTAATCCCCCCCCTTTACCCTCTTCTACCTCCCTCCACCTTTCTTTCCCTCTAGTAATTACCATACTGTTGTCTATTAGGTGTTTTGTGGGGTTTTTTCCCTAATCCCTGACCTTTTTTACTTTCTCTATTTTTTAGATTGTATTCTACATACCACATTTTTCTTTTAGCCAGGAACCAAATTAATTCTTAGAGGCTAAGTAACTTTTAAGGTTAAGTAAACCAAGACATTTCCCTTCACATTTTTAAAAAATTGGTAAAAAAATACTGGCATCTCTGATAGTCATTAAATACTATAATTTAGTGATGTATATCCATTGTATTCAGACTTCACAGGATTTTCTTTTTAGTGTCCAGTTATCTCCTAAGTAGTTACCTCCAATGTGCTGCTTGTTTTTTATTATTTTTTATTGTAAAAATACAGGCAGAATTCACTGTGGTAAAACATTTAAAAACTATACTTATTAAATTTTAATGCATTCAAACGGTATGAGATGATAGGCTATTAAAATCTCCTTCTCACCCCTGGCCATCACCTACCCCAGTTTCCTTCCCTGGGGATAACTACAGTTGCTGATTTCTTTGTACTCTTTTACAGATATTCTGTGCCTATACAATAAATTATATGTTTTTAATCTTGCCCTTTTACTTTTATACAGATGTAGAATACTTGAAAGAAACATTGTTCTGTACTTTGCTTTGTTCAATTAGCAATACAATTTGGAGATTTTTTCTATCAGTACATAAGAGTTCTTCAATCTCTTTTTAATAGCTATGTAATATTCCATAGTATAAATTTAGCATATTTAACTAGTTTCTCATTTGATGGTTTTTAAAAATTATTTCCATTCTTTTGCTGTTCTAAGCAAGATTGTAGCAAAAAAAAATGCAATATATACATCTAACATGTATATGTACAATAACATGGCCTTGTTATATGTTACTTCATGTATGTATTAATATCTACAGGATTAGTTTCTAGACGTGGAAGTGCTGGTAAAAAGCCATGGGTATTTATAATTTTGAAAGTAGAGATGTTTAAATGAATTGAAGCTATGGGATTTTATGTATTATTTACCCACCATGGAACTTCAGTTTATAATAAATGGAAATCTAAGAATTAAATTAATAATTGCCAAGATGTAAGTGAAATCCTTATAAAATTCTTTTTATTTTGCAGGTATACAAAAATAGGATATGCTGGAAATACAGAACCACAGTTTATCATCCCTTCCTGTAAGTGTTTCTTTTAAGCCACAAATTAACAGATTTAAAGATCTTTTTCTTAATTAAAGTAAAAGAAATAATCATTTCTGATACACAGTACTATTTAATCCTTTAAGTACTATGGTTTGCAAAGTTTAAGTGTGACCTCATTTCTGCACTTCTAATCATTCATTTCAGCTCTCTGTTTAGCTCCATTTACCAAATCTTCCAAATATCTCTTTAGAGACAAGATGAAGGAATTAAACAAGCTTCTGCTTTAAGGATAATGCTATTAACAGTATGTGCTTGTAAACTAACTGTTAAGAAGTGCATCCCCATCACACACTTATGAAGACTGTCCTTTGGTTTTTGGATATGATTACTTTTTGCAGGGCCTTGTGCTTGTTGACATCCTGACCTAAGCTCATGTTTTAAAATAAGGACTGAATCTCATCTTTAGAGATGTTGACTTCAGCTGTTTTCTAATATCTTATAACCACACAGTGTTGTTATTCTGTCCTATTTTGTTTACTTTAATTGAACATCAACTTTCAGTAGTTTGTCTTTCAGTAGTTTTTTAAAAATACTCTCATACTTGGTTTTGTTACAGCTTTTATTTGTTAGCATGGATTATGTATCTGGTCCTTGGCATACTTTAGTACTTTTGATTTTCAAATGATTCATCTTTTTCATGCTATATAGTAACACCTGTGATTTACTTGTCCTAATGTTGAATTAAAACTAACTTATTAGATGACAGACCTTTTGAGCCTTTGCTTGGTGGTGCTAACTCCTAGACAGTTTAATTTTGGGAGTGTCAGTAGTTTTGCACAGTAGTACTTATGTGACTGTTTGAATATTTTTATGTATTCTTATTATGAAAATAAGAAAGAAATGGAAAAATAAACATTCAGAGAGTAATGAAAGCAGTTGACATTTCAGAATTAGTGAAGTTGAGAACTAGGTAGAAATTATTAGGCTTGCCAAAGATTGCACATCTTTAGTCTCAGTGGGGTACTAATTGGACATGAATAGCTCATTGGTATACTTTTCTAGGAATTGATTTTGTAAGAAATTAGCCTACTACCTAAGTCTAATTCTTTAATACCTAGAAAGAATTTTAGGTGACACTGATGATATAGCTTATTCATGCGAGAATAGTGGCCTTAGTTTGGTGGTACCATTCTGTTGTCCTTGTGTACACTGAAGGACAGTTTTGCTTTTCTTTACTTTTCCTCACATTTATATATCAATTTACTGATTGTTGTTTTTGATGACAAATACTGGCTCTATTGCTGACTTGTATAGAAGTACTTTTGTGGACTAGTACTTGACTCTAGTTTTACAGGGGTTGGCAAAAGTAGGTTTATAGTTGTATGTGAACACAACTTATTCTTTTATTATTTACTTGTATTACAACTGTAAACCAATTTTTGCCCACCCTGTATTTGAATTTAGTGCTGTTAGACCATTGTATATGCTTGTATTAGTTTCCTAAGGCTGCTGTAACAAAGTACCAAAAACTGGGTGGCTTAAAACAACAGAGACTTCAGTTCTGGAGGCCAGAAGTCCAAAACCAAGTTGCCAACAGGGCCATGATCTTGCTGACAGCTCTAGGGGAGAAACCTTGCCTCTTCTAGCTACTGGTGTTTGCTGATAATCCTCCTTGGCTTGTATATACAATCACTTGGCTGTCTCCTCCCTGTGTATCTCCATGCTGTCTTTCTTCTGTGTCCAAATTTCCTCTTTTTATAAGGACACTAGTCATTGGAGTAGGGCCCACCCTAATAACCTTACTTTAACTGGCAAGACCCTACTTCCAGATAAGGTTACATTCTGAGGTTAGGGCTTCAACATATCTTTTTTTGCAGGACACAATTCAACCTATTTCTGGTTTTGCAATCTCTTAATTTGTAATATTTTATAAGGCATTATGTTGTGATTAAACAATTATTTTAGGAGATTACTGATATGTCACTTTCATCTTTACAAAATTTGGTTTTGCTTATGTTCTCAAGTGGCTATATGTAGTGTTTATTGGAGACCTTTAAAATACTGATCTTTTGAACCTTAGGTTCTCATCACCATTCTACCCATTCTCTATTTCATCTCTCTGTCAAAATATTTTAGTTTTCATTGTCTTTATTTTTCTAGTGTACATTCAGTGTTATTTTGTGTTAGTTTCAGCTGTATAGCATAGTGGTTAGACAATCATATACTTTACAAAGTGTTCCCCGATATTTCCAGTTACCCACCTGGTAGTTTTCATTGTCTTATGAGAAGTTGCAGCATGTTAAAAATTTATTTGCCTTCTGAAAGGAGGTTTTTGATTTTGGAGTTTTTTCACCCAACTAGTATTTTAGTACTACAGGTACAGAGTTTATAATCAGCAGATATAGTCATGCTACTGATGAGCATAAGTATTTGATCTGGAAAGGCTTTAGATATGGTTCAAAGTTATTTTTATATATCTTTGTTTTCCAGGAAATTTATAGCAAATTATCTAGATGCCTATGTACATTATAAATGAACTAGAGGCCCGGTGCACAGATTCGTGCTCTGGTGGGGTCCCTTGGCCTGGCCTGTGCCCTCTTGTAATTCGGGACCCCTTGGAGGATGTTGGAGGCCCAGTGCATGGACTCGGCCTGATCCCCGCAGGCCAGGCCAAGGAACCCCACTGATGTACGAATCCATGCACTGGACCTCTAGTATGCATTATAAGATCTTTGGTTAATCTCTTCCCACCCCCCCCCCCCCCCCCCGCTTCCCTTTGAGAATCATCAGTCTGTTCCATGTGTCCATGCCTTTGCATTGAGTGTCTGTCCCCTAGTGGTCAGTGCGCGTCATGGCTACTGGTCTAATGGTTGAACCGTCGCTTAGGCTTTTATATATATAGATTGCTAGAGAAGGTTTCTAACATTCAGGAGTAGAATGTGGATTTAGAATTTCTTTCCTTCAGTATTTTTTGCCCACTTCATTAAGTATGTAACTGTTATTAAATGAAAGTATAACAGTTGAATGCCAGATTAACTTAAGTGTATGCATTTTTTATTATTTACATTATAGATATTACATATAGGTATTATGTATAGGTAATTACAATAAAAATGAAGGACTGCTTAACTTGGAGGATTTATAAACATAACTTAATTAAGAAATATGTAAAAAGTTTTATGTATAGAACTGTATGCTGAATTTCTGAAGTTTTTTAAGGGGATTATTATGGGTTTTACCTAAATGATTTGAAAAAAGCTTTTTCTTGTATGATTAGTTTAATAGAACCTTATGTCAGTGTTATATTGAAATTACTAATCTATTATAGTACAAATAGAATAGAAATATGAATGCTTTTATTTATTTATTTTAACAATATATTTTTATTGATTTCAGAAAGGAAGGGGGGGAGAGAGAGAGAAACATCAATGATGAGGGAGAATCATTGATCAGCTGCCTCCTGCACGCCCCCCATTGGGGATCGAGCCCGCAACCTGGGTATGTGCCTTGACCCATGACCTCCTGGTTCATAGGTCCACATTCAACCACTGATCCATGTTGTCTGGGCATAAAGAAAGCTTTAAAAAAAAAAATTTCCCTTGTAATTTTTGTGTTGTCATTTGTTAGTGTTTTTAAATTTTTTCTTTTTGATGTTGATTTGGCATATGTTGATTTGGTGGGATTATAAAATCAAAGTAGATCTTAACATAGTATTAAAAAATATAACTGAAACATTTCCAGAGCCATACTTCTTTTTTTGGCTTTTAACATTTGAAACCTTGTCTTTGGATTGAGATTTCATTGTGTTAAATGAATTTGGTCATTTTTTTTTCTTTTACCTATGTGCTTTAGTTTGGCAATTTAAATATGCTAAATCATGTTTTGTTTAATAGCACTTTATAATGGAAGAAGTATTTTATAAATTTGTTTCACCTGAAAATAATAAAATTTTTGACATGTATAAATAACTTTTATTTTAAAGGTATTGCTATTAAGGAGTCAGCAAAAGTGGGTGATCAAGCTCAAAGGAGGGTGTTGAAAGGTGTTGATGACTTAGACTTCTTCATTGGTGATGAAGCAATAGAAAAACCTACATATGCAACAAAGGTATATTTTATGATTTGTAAATTAATAACATTTTTTAAAAAAAATTTAGTTTATGATTGTGCCATTTAGAATTTCACTCTGTTATAGGCCTAGTAGCTTCAACCTCTTCACAATAGAAATTTCTCCTTCCCTGTGGCCCCTCCCAACTTAACGTTAACTTTATTTATTTTTTTTCCAAGTGGAAAATTTCAGCCTGCCCAAGTGAGCAGTATTTACTTTTCCATACCTACTAGACCTCAGAATCATCAATGTAATCGCCTTTCTCATTGCCACATTTAGAGACATTTCCCATAAGTATTCAAACCTATACCATTTCTCTCCTTTTTGAAGCTTATGTCACCTGGAAGTGCTGCTCTCTTTTCCCTTCTTTTTCCCTTTCTTATCCTGCCATTCTTCCCCTTCTTCCTTTTTATTGAGGTATAATTTGTATGTAGTAAAATAGGTAAGTCTTAATTATATAGTTAAAAAAATTTTATGACTCCAATCGTAAAACTTCAGGATATAGAGTAAATATAGTAACCTAGAAGCTTTTCTTGTGTCTGCTCCCATAGTCATCACCCCTACCTATACCAAAGGTAAACACTATTCTGACATTTATTATCTTTTTTTTAAAAAATATATTTTATTGATTTTTTACAGAGAGGAAGGGAGAGGGATACAGAGTTAGAAACATCAGTGAGAGAGAAGCATCGATCAGCTGCCTCCTGCACACTCCCTACTGGGGATGTGCCCGCAACCAAGGTACATGCCCTTGACCGGAATTGAACCTGGGACCCTTCAGTCCGCAGGCCGGCGCTCTATCCACTGAGCCAAACCGGTTAGGGCTTATTATCTTATTTTTGAACATTGACTTTGCCTCATTTGCAGATTTCCTCCTTTGTACCTCATTTCTTCTATCCTCATAATTTATTAATGAACACTATCATATGTAAAAAATTTGGCTAAGTGCTGAGAATACAGTGATAAATAACAAAATGACTTTCCTGATAAGGCAGTTATAATGTGGTGGGAAGGAATACACTGAAGGAATAATTACAGGTGTTAGGGTGTTACAAAAAGGAAAGTATAGAATAACTCTGGGAATGTATATCAGGAATAGCTAACCTATTTTGTGGACTCAGAAAAATCTTTAGGGAGTAAATCTTTAAGCTGAGGCTTGAATAATAAATAGGTGTTGGCCAAAACCGGTTTGGCATAGTGGATAGAGCGTCGGCCTGCGGACTGAAAGGTCCCAGGTTCGATTCCGGTCAAGGGCATGTACCTGGGTTGCGGGCACATCCCCAGTGGGAGATGTGCAGGAGGCAGCTGATCGATGTTTCTCTCTCATCGATGTTTCTAACTCTCTATCTCTCTCCCTTCCTCTCTGTAAAAAGTCAATAAAATATATTTAAAAAAAAATAGGTGTTGGATGAATTGTGTAGGTAAGGTTATATATACTAGGCAGAGATTCCAATATTCAGGAAGGCTTTAAAGTATGAGGGAGCCTGAAACTGAACAACCAGTGTGCCTAAAGCATAGAGGAGGTGGAAAGAAGTGAGGAGGTTGAAAAGTAGGCCAGGATAAGATTGTTGAAAGTGTTGTTTGGCCATGTTAAAGAATTTAACTCTGTCCTTTGGGTAACATTAATGGTTTAAGTAGTGATTAAAAGCACAACTATTGAAGTATATTGGCTTGGCTGGAATTCTGGCTGTGCAACTTACTTTTTTTTTTTCTTCAGAGAGGAAGGGAGAGGCATAGAGAGATAGAAATATCAATGATGAGAATCATGGATTGGCTGCCTCCTGCATGCCCCCTACTGGGGATCGAGCCTGCAACTCGGGCATGTGCCCTTGACTGGAATCAAACCTGGGACCCTTTAGCCTACAGGCTGATGCTCTATCCACTGAACCAAACCAGCTAGAGCTGGCTGTGCAGCTTTCTAGCTTTGTGATATTCAGTAACTTAACCTTTCTGAGTTTTTGTTTCTTTATCTGTTAAATGGAGATAGTACAGGATTGTTGGGAGATTTAATGAGATGATGCATATAAAACAATTGTTATGGTGCTTTGTACATCATGAATACTCATATATATTGGCTGTTTTTATTTATTTAAAATATATATTTTATTGATTTTTTACAGAGAGGAAGGGAAAGGGATAGAGAGTTAGAAACATCGATGGATGAGAGAGAAACATTGATTAGCTGCCTCCTGCACACCCCCTACTGGGGATGTGCCCTCAAGCAAGGTACATGCCCTTGACCGGAATCGAACCTGGGACCCTTCATTCCGCAGACTGACGCTCTATCCACTGAGCCAAACCAGTTAGGGCATTGGCTGTTTTTATTATTTGGAAACACAGCATCATTCTAGGAAGACCAGACTATTGTAATAACTAAAGCAAGGAATATTAGTGACTTGTACTACACTTATGGCAGTAGGCATAGAGAGAAACAGAAATTGTGTGTGCACACAAACATTTAACTTTCATCATAGGGACTTTCAGTCAGGATGGCAAGCATAGGTAAATCTAGTACTCACTTCCTTCAACAACCCAATCAAAATTACAACTAAACCATAGGACAACCACTATTTAGAATCACCTGAAATGTGGCTGAATGGAAGTCTTACAAGTAGGGAGTTAAAGAAGAAGCCACATTTGAGACTGGTAAGAGGGGTGGAGATGCTGAATGTGCTGGTCCCATACTCACATGTGGTGGATATAAATCAGAAGGGATATCTCGGCTGCAGAGATCCCCCTTTAGTAGTGAGGGGTCCCAGCCCCACATCAGGCCCCTTGGCCCAGGGTTCCAATGTCAAAAAGAAGTCCCATAACTTTTGGCTGTAAAAACCAGTGGGATTGAGGCTGAGGGATATGGTAGACTGCTGGAGTCCCAGGCAGTTTCTTTTAACACATTAAGCACCATGTCAGTCACTGGTGACTGACACTATACTTTCTGTCCGGACCGGTCAGTCACTGGTGCCGCCAGCATGTCGGTGAAATTGGATATCGCGGGCTAAACGGAAAGGAAGACAAAACAGGCTTGGCGCTTAACATGTTAAAGGGCTCACACACGGACTTATTCGGACTCACTCCCTCTGAGCTCTATCACTGGGTAACAGTGTGAAAAAGGCATCAGAGACATAGGGGAAGGAACTGAAATGTCTAGCATCAGGGCGAGAGCTGGGGAGGCAGCTTTCTTCCAGACAGAAGTGCTGGCAGAGACCATTGTTGCTTTGATGAGCTCTCTACCTCCACAGAGCCAGCATGTCTGAGTCTCCATCAACTTGGCTACCACTGTCCACCCTCCCCACCTTGTGATCCCTTGAGGCCCCACCTCACCCCATTTCAGGAGTACCCATGATGTTTACAGTGGCTTTTCCGTATGAATGACCTATCTTGGCTCATGTATTAGATTTTTCTAAAAATATCTCAAACAAGCAGTAACCTGGACTCTGCATACCCCATACCTTTCACTAAGTGGCCCCAGGCCTGGCAGTAGCAGCAGCTAGCCTTGATTTGTAGCTTGGCCTTTCCTGGGCCAACACAAGTAGCAGACATTTGCAGATTGCTTTGTAGCTCATGCCAGATGGCTCTGGGCAGTAACAGGTGATGGCTGATCTTGGCCTGCACCTCCCTGGAGGCCTGAGAGCCTGTGCATCCAGAGGACAGCTTCTGACCACGTTGAAGCATCACCACACAAACAACTCCACAAGGGACAAATTCAGTGGGCACCAGAGCCCTGATGAAGTAAGTCCTACTCTGGGGTGGGCCCCTGCACAGCTGATCCTCCATGGTGGTCAGAGGTCAGTGGTCTGTGGTCACAGCCAGTCCTTGCAGCTGATGGGCCTGGGGATAAATTATTCCTATTGATGTTCCAACAGCAATCAAAGTACACAGTCCACACAGGGGGCACACCCTGATTGCCCATTTTGGGTTATCAGAGAGGCTATGTCACTAGGCCCTACGGAACACCTACTATATTAGGCTACTCTACTATCCTGGTAGATGTAGCAGCTCTACATAATGCGTAGAAACAAATAGAGGAAGTTTGCCAAAATGAGGAGACAAAGAAACATGTTCCAAATGAAAGAACAGAACTCAACTCCAGAAAGAGAACTAAATGTATTGTAGATAAGCAATCTACTAGATCAGTGGTTCTCAACCATCTTAATGCCGCGACCCTTTAATACAGTTCCTCATGTTGTGGTGACCCCCATCCATAAAATTATTTTCATTGCTACTTCATAACTGTAATTTTGCTACTGTTAGGAATCGTAATGTAAATATCTGATATGCAGGATGTATTTTCATTGTTACAAATTGAACATAATTAAAGCATGGTGATTAATCACAAAAACAATATGTAATTATATATGTGTTTTCCGATGGTCTTAGGTGACCCCTGTGAAAGGGTCATTTGACCCCCAAAGGGGTCGCCACTCACAGGTTGAGAACCGCTGTACTAGATGAAGAGTTCCAAACACTGCTTATAAGGATGCTCAGTGAACTTAGTGAGAACCTTACAGCATGAAAAAGGATCATTCAGATGTGAAGGATACATTAACTGAAATGAAGAATAATTTACAGGGATTCAACAGTAGAGTAGAGGATGCCAAGATAAAATCAGCAATATGGAATATGAGGAAGCAAAAAACACCAACTAGAAGAACAAAAAGAAAGAAGAATTAAAAAATATGAAGATAGTGTAAGGGGCCTCTAGGACAACTTCAAGCATACCAAATTCACATCATAGGGATGCCGGAAGGAGACGAGAAGGAGCAAGATTTTAAAAACCTATTTGAGAAAATAATGACAAAAAACTTACCTTACCTGGGGAAAGAAATAGACATACAAGTCCAGGAAGCACAGAGAGTCTCAAACTAGGTGAACTCAAAGAGGCCCACACCAAAACACATCATTAAAATGCCAAAGGTTAAAGACAAAAAGAGAATCTTAAAAGCAGCAAGAAAAAAGCAGTTAGTTACCTACAAGAGAGCTCCCATAAGACTTTCAGCTGA